CCCCTCAGGCCCCGCCCTCAGGGACCCCCGCCCCGGCCCCTCCCTCACCTCCATCCCCGAACTCCTCGCGGAAGAACTGGGTGGGGCCGGCGGCCGCCAGGAGGGCTCCGAACAGGACGGGGGCGAGGAGGCTGAGGGGGCTCATGGCGGGGGCTCAGGGCACACTCGCTCCGTCCGTCCCGGCCCGGCGCCGCCCGGCACTGCGGAGGGGGGAGGAGGTGCCGCCGCTTTTTATACTCCCGCCGCCCCTCGCCCTGCCTCCGCCGCGCTGCCATTGGCCCGAGCCCGCGCGCGGCCCTCTCCCATTGGCCGCCCGCCCGCCCGCCGGCGGCGACGGCGCCCCCGAACGTTGGCGTCCCAGATGGCCGCTTCCCATTGGCTGAGCGCGCCGGCCAATGAGGAGCGACCACGCGTTCGGAGGGAGACGCCCCCCCGCCCCCCGCCTCGCTCCGGGGGTCACGTGAGGCGCGCGCTCTTAAAGGGACAGGCCCGGGAGTGGGGGGGGAGGAGGAAATTGAGGAGAAATCGGGGATATGGGGGGGGGGGAGCGGCGGACACGCGGCCTAGGGCAGCCTCCTGCTCGTCTCTGCCTTCACACAGCGCCGTGACGCGGGGGTGATGTCACTGACTGAGTGATGTCACCGCAGGTGTGAACGCGAGGAAGGTGAACCCAGACCGGGGGCCGCTCTGGGCGAGCTCTGGGCCGAATCAACCGCCTGGGGCCCGCGGAGGAGCCGCTTGGCGCCGCATGACGTCACTGCGCCGCTCCGTGACGTCACGGCGCCCCCCGCAGCCACCTGCGCGCCCCCCGCCACACCCAACATGGCGCCTCCCACGCCGCGCACTGCGCAGTCGCCACACCCAAGATGGCGAACGCACCACCTCCCTCCCCCTGCGCGGCACTTCCGGTGCGCCGCGCTCCCTTCCGGCGGGCTCCCTTCCGGCCATGGCGCCGAGCGTGGCGGAGCGGCTCCTGCAGCGGCTGGAGGAGGCGGCGCCTCCCGGCGGGCTCTGCAGCCTCGAGGCCGCCGCCCAGCTCGGTGTCGACCACCAGACGCTCGTGGGCGCCGTGAAGAGCCTGCAGGCGCTGGGCGAGGTGCGCGGGGCCGGGCCGCGGTCGGCGGCGGGGGGCGCGGGGGCCGCAGGCCGCGCTGATGGCGCCGCTCCCCGGTGCCCCCCCGGTGCTCCCCCCGGTGCAGGTGATCGAGGCGGAGGCGAGGACGGCCACGCGGTGGGAGCTGAGCCCCGAGGGCGAGGAGGTGCTGCGGGACGGCAGCCCCGAGGTGCGGCTGTTCCGGAGCCTGCCCGAGGAGGGGCTGCCGCAGGCCGAGGCCATGGTGGGTACCGGCCGCACCGGGGGGCACCGGCACCGGCCGCCGCGCTGCTGACGGCCGCCGTGTGCCCGCAGAAGCTGCCCGGGGGCTCCTTGGGCTTCAGCAAGGCCATGGCCAACAAGTGGGTGCGCCTGGATAAGGGAGCGGCCGGCGGGCCACGCGTGTTCCGCGCCGTGAGTGGGCCGGGGGGACCCGCGGGGGGGCATTAGCATGCACCGTGCAGGACGCCGTGCAGCAGCAGCTGTGCCCACCCTGCCATGCCCCCCATGCCCCCCATACCCACCCTGTGCCCCCCGTGCCCCCCACAGGTGCCCACGGTGCAGGACGCCGTGCAGCAGCAGCTGTGCCGCGCGGGCGCCGGGGCGGCGCTGCCCGAGCGCGAGCGCGCCGAGCTCAAGAGGAGGAAGCTGCTGCTGGAAGTGTGAGTGGGGCACGCTAATTAACCCTAATTAACCCCGAACCGCGCCGTTCTGTCCTTAATTAGCGCCGCGGGTTTAATTGGGGCCGCGCTCTTTGGGGCTTTGGTTGTGTTTGGGGCAGCGCCCCCTTTCCCCGGGCTGGGTTTTAATTGGGGTTTGTTAATTGCTGTGCTCGAGCGGGGCTGCAGTTCCTGCCTTGATTTTAATCCTGTTTGGGTCTCTTTGCTGGGCTTTGGCGAGGATAAAGATTTCAGTCATCTAACACCCCAATTAATCTCACCCAAATCGAGATTTCAGTCATTTAGCAGCCCAATTAATCTCACCCAAATCAAGATTTCAGTCCTTTAACAGCCCAATTAATCTCATCTAAATAAAGATTTCAGTCATTTAACAGACCAATTAATCTCACCCAAATCGAGATTTCAGTCGTTTATCAGCCCCATTAATCTCACCCAAATCGAGATTTCAGTCGTTTAGCAGCCCAATTAATCTCACCCAAATAAAGATTCCAGTCGTTTAGCAGCCCAATTAATCTCACCCAAATCAAGATTTGAATGATCTAGCAGCCCAATTAACCTCAGATAAATCAAGATTTCAATTATTTATCAGCCCGGTTAATCTCACCCAAATCGAGATTTCCATGATCCAACAGTCCAATTAATCTCACCCAAATCAAATTGCCATCATCTAACACCCCAATTGATCTCACCCAAATCGAGGTTCCAGTCGTTTAACAGCCTAATTAATCTCATCTGAACCAAGGTTTTAATTAGCCCAATTAATCTCACCCAACCAAGATTTCAATGATCCAACAGCCCAATTAATCTCAGCCAAACCAAGGTTTTAATGATTTATTAGCCCAATTAATCTCACCCAATCAAGATTTCAATGATCCAACAGCCCAATTAATCTCACCCAAATGAAAATTTGAATGATCTAGCAGCCCGGTTAATCTCACCCAAATGAAGATTTCCATGATTTAACAGCTCAATTAATCTCACCCAAATGAAGATTTGAATGATCTAACAGCCTAATTAATCTCGCCCAAACCAAGGTTTTAATGATTTATCAGCCCTGTTAATCTCATCCAAATCAAATTGTCAACATCTAACACCACAATTGATCTCACCCAAATCAAGATTTCATCATCTAACACCCCAATTAATCTCACCCAAATGAAGATTTCAATGATCCAACAGCCCAATTAATCTCACCCAAACCAAGGTTTTAATGATTTATCAGCCCAATTGATCTCACCCAAATAAAGCTTTGGATGATCTAGCAGCCCAATTAATCTCCAACAAATCAAGGTTTCAATCATTTAACAGCCCAGTTAATCTCACCCAAATCAAATTGCCATCGTCTAACAGCCAAATTAATCTCACCCAAATGAAAATTTGAATGATTTATCAGCCCAATTAATCTCACCCAAACCAAGGTTTTAATGATTTATCAGCCCTGTTAATCTCATCCAAATCAAATTGTCAACATCTAACACCACAATTGATCTCACCCAAATGAAAATTTGAATGATTTATCAGCCCAATTAATCTCACCCAATCGAGATTTCAGTCATTTAACAGCCCAATTAATCTCACCCAAACCGAGGTTTTAATGATTTATCAGCCCAATTAATCTCACCCAATCAAGATTTCAATGATCCAACAGCCCAATTAATCTTGCCCAAACTAAGGTTTTAATGATTTATCAGCCCAATTGATCTCACCCAAATCAAGATTTCATCATCTAACACCCCAATTAATCTCACCCAAATCAAGGTTTTAATGATTTATCAGCCCAATTGATCTCACCCAAATGAAGATTTCGATCCTCTAACACCCCAATTAATCTCACCCAAATGAAGATTTTGATCATCTAACAGCCTAATTAATCTCGCCCAAACCAAGATTTCAACAATCCAACAGCCCAATTAATCTTACCCAAACTAAGGTTTTAATGATTTATCAGCCCAATTGATCTCACCCAAATGAAGATTTCGATCCTCTAACACCCCAATTAATCTCACCTAAATGAAGATTTCAGTGATCCAACACCTCAATCTCACCCAAACCAAGGTTTTAATGATTTATCAGCCCAATTAATCTCACCCAAATCAAGATTTCCATGATTTATCAGCCCAATTAATCTCACCCAAATCAAGGTTTCCATGATTTATCAGCCCAATTAATCTCACCCAATCAAGATTCCAATGATCCAACAGCCCAATTAATCTCACCCAATCAAGATTTCCATGATTTATCAGCCCAATTAATCTCACCCAAATCAAGGTTTCCATGATTTATCAGCCCAATTAATCTCACCCAATCAAGATTCCAATGATCCAACAGCCCAATTAATCTCACCCAATCAAGATTTCCATGATTTATCAGCCCAATTGATCTCACCCAAATGAAGATTTTGATCATCTAACACCCCAATTAATCTCACCCAAACCAAGGTTCTAATGATTTATTAGCCCAATTAATCTCACCCAACCAAGATTTCAATGATCCAACAGCCCAAGTAATCTCACCCAAACCAAGGTTTTAATGATTTATCAGCC